CTGAGTCCATCTGTGTTTTTAACCTGTCTTCCTTTAGGTTCTGTCTGGGAATTCAGAGAACTGAATTTCCCTGGTTAATTTTGTATTCCTATGTCATTATACAGGTAGACAACTTGCCTCTCTTCCATAGCTTTCTCTTAGTAGTCATCAAGGGATCACAGATTCCAGGAGTTATTCATAACTCTGCTTCTCTTAGCTTCCACAAGCTTACTGGCCAGCCAAATTCATTCCTATTGACAGAAGGAACAGATGTATTGCAAATAAACATACATAAACATAATGCATGTGAAGAGCAGAAATACAGAATAATATTGAGCAACTCCAGCTTTATCCTAAGAGTTAAATGAAGATGTGAAAAATGTTTGTTTGGCAACCTTGGTCAAACTGTTCCCTCTCATGTATTTTGAAAAATAAATGTTACAAACTTCATATACCATGAAACTTCTAGTTCAACAGCTAATAACTTGAAGAAATATAACAAAATACCTATAGTTTCAGAACTGAGGAAGTTCTTCTGAAGTTATAGGATTTGAAGGAAAGTTTAACTACCACAGTAGTGGGAATAAAAGTCTACATAACTGAGGCAGTATCTTGAGCAATAAATGTACGTGCCTCCTCTGAGCCAACACACAAAGCTGCTATGTGGCAGTTTAGGCAATTCAAAACTGACCTATTGTCTCTCTCTGCAATGTTGGCAGGAGGGTAAGCAGCCCATAATGTCTATACGAAGGATTTATGTCTGCTTATATAGGTCATTTTTTCAATTCCTTTTTGTCTCTCACTGAGACTTTGTTGCTCTTTATGCTTCCCTTTATCATATTGTATGACTGTCAGACACCAGAAGGCTTGCAAATCTGATGTTGTGTATTTTACCATTTCACTTTTTCTCACAGTGTCAGTTCTGACCTGATTTCATCAGTTTCAAACTGTTAGAACTAGAAATACATGTTATATTCGTAAGCCCATCACCTAGGAACTTGGAATCTCAGCTTTGAAATTGAAAATAACATTATTTTCTAATGCTACTGCTTTGTGAGATGTTGCTTGCTAAGATAATTTGAACTTGACAAAAAGACAGCATGGTAAAATATTAAAATCTGATAAGCAAATATCTATTGCAGACATTTGTTTTCTCAAAAAAAAAAATCAACTAAAAGTCATGGAGCATTTTTCCCCATGCCATCGATATTTGCAGTAATTTTACTCTGCTAGTTCTTCCTCCAAAGATCAGAAAGATTTCAATCAAACCATGAGTTCTTTCTATTAAAATGTTCCATATACAAATGGCTATTAGCCACACAGTTGGAAGTATTTGGAACAGTGAGGCTAGAAATGTAGTGCAACTAGTAAAAATAGAAGGCTATTGCCCAAAGTGATACAAATAGATGCAAGCCCCACTCATGCAGGGCATACTAGCTGCCATCATAGTGGCTTGTATCTCTGGAGGGAAAATTGTGGGAATGGGCTGGTCCCACTCAAATCTTCCTACAGTGTAAAAAGAAAAATAATACAAATACCAGCACTCAGAACTACTCATTCAAATAATTGCTTACCTCACTCTTTGTTAGTTGTGCCATAACAGGCAGTGCTAGAAATGAGACTACAGACGCTGTAGGAGCCTCCTTTTAGACCTATAACGGTACAAGTAAGTGTGAAAAGGATCATTGATCTAACAATTCCCAGATTTCCATGTTCAAGATAGTTTCACTTCTCCAGTGTAGAGAAGCAAATAGAATAAAGGGGGAAAAAAATCCTTCCGTTCTTCAAAGCTCATTGCAGATACAAGACTCCCACTCAAATTGAAGGAATCTCAGGTAATGACATAATGAAGGCATGGCCTTGGGAGTAGTGTTTCAGAATTCCCTCTTTGCCATTGCAAAAAAATCTATACAGCAAGAGCAGAACTGCGCTTTGTTTTTTTCCTAAAGTAGCACTAGCTTCTTTCTTCAGCAAATAAAGAACACATAATGCTGTAAGCATTCCTCAGGTAGGGGGTATGTGCTCCATTTAAGGTTGTTTTACAGTTTGAGCAGAAGAGATCAACCATAAAGGAAATCTATATCAATGGGAAGAGCTTGACTTCCAGGTTGGTTTTTGTTGTTGTTGTTGTTTCTAAATGGTGTGACAGTAAGGGAGGTGTTCCATGTTCAATATCTGCTATTTTTAGATGGTTTTCTTCCAGTGAAGCCTTCCTCAAAATTGTATGGAGTTTTCATATTTTTGAGACTTTCATAGTTTCATGGAAAAGATGATACATTTTTTCCCTAGAGTAAGTTTAATATGATAGCGACTGTGAGCCTGCCTTTGCTTTCCTTAGAGCTGTAACAGTTTGGTGTAGCTTTGCCTGATTGTATACATTTTGTATCACTGATGTAGGAGCAGCTTCTAAATGGGTGCTGCTCACTGACAAATGACGATATGTATCAAAGTTTCAGAGCTTCACGTATCACTAGAAGGCATAATCATACAGATGGGACCAAAGCTACACACTCTCCTGTTTTTGTCTATCTTTTTTAAGGACACGTTTCAGCAAGACTACCTGAGGCAACCTCATAACTTAGCTCCTGTTGCAAGAAGCGGCCCCTACTCCTACTTACATGCTCTTCCACTTCCTTTGTCTTTGATTAAAACAAACAAACAAAAAAAAAAAAACAACAACAACAAAAAAAAAAACTAACTGGCTTTAGGATTCTGGGCTGTCTCACTGAGATACCAAATGCATTCCAGGACCAGCACGCAAGTACACGGGATCAATAAGCCAGGATTCAGGATCATAAAGAGAAATAAGAATCACTGAATTTGCTGGATTAGGGGGCAAGTGGTAATGATTAAGAATTCAGTTCCACAGCACATAAAGCCACCCTAAATCAGTGGCCACACTGCAGTCTCCCAGCCACACATAAGTACGCTTCCACTTTCTTGGGCATCAGCGTTGGCATTCATTTGGTCTCACCATGAACTGTTCCACTGAATTAAACTAGCACAAAATTATTATTACTATTTTCCTCTTGTAGAGCTAGTGATTTGTGTTTTTATTGTTGTGTCTTCAAGTTATCTCACCATGGACCAGATAAACACAAGTGCTGAAAAAAGGACACCTACTTGTGACTAGACCAGGACCCAAACAGCACCAGCCTGACCAGCAAAAAATGCTGTAAACTAAATCATCTCTTAAGACAATCTCAAATAGGGAAGTCTAAGGAGTTTGAGCCTAAACCCAAAGTATCCAGTTGCTATACTTTAACTAGAAGCATATTTCTATATTGCTCTAGATAAGGACAAGTCAAGGCACCACTGGTCACCTCAAACATTTCAGAGGATTTTCCAAATGTGAACAAAAGATAGTTATATACACGAGGAAAAAGTGACATTTTATTTTGGTAACAGGACTTGAAAACAGCAGAGTATGATTCTTTGGGTTTACTGTGTTAGGATATAGAGTGTCTCTCCTTTTTCTGAGATATTCATTCTTGTTTTATTTGTATAAACTTCCTAACAAACCTAAATCTGTTATTTGTATTCCTTAGTAAAAGGAGAAAACCCTAATCTAAGTACAAATTAAAGACTACCAAATAATGACTGTTGTCTGATCTCCAAAAGGAACTGGTCCAGCCTAACCACTAACAGATATCTGCAAGTATTTGTGAAACAACATAATGCTAAAGGACATGGTAATTACAAGGGTGGCAGCACCACAATTCTAGCATTGTATCCAATTCTTGCATTTTCTTATGCCATCAACCCATTTTCAGGCTGTTACAATATGGAATTACAGCCTTATAGCAACAGACAAAAGCCAAATGTTTGCATTATTTTCTCTCACAGTGGCCTTTGATTCCCCCAAGTAAGAAATATTTGACTCACGTAAGATAGGTGAGACTAGGTTAACTTGGGGCATTTTGTTTCTCTCCTTCAGTGACAGTTCAGGAAAAGATGATAGTGAATTACTCATCATCCATGGCTACTTTTATCTGAAGTACACTGTTCTCTACAGGTACATATAAGCACTCCCACTCCAGCAGACATGTAGTTACGTATGCGAAGCAGCCATAACGTGTGACTGCTTTACGCTGTACATCATTGTCATAGAACCAGTGGTTGGGTATCTGCCTTCCTAAAGCCTTGCCAGGAGGAAAAATAAGGTAAGATGGTGCCTGATGAAATTCAAACTCCTGAAAGACTATACTGTGTTGTTGAACTAGCAACAAGGAAAAGACTTGCTCTGTGAATTAGATGTGTACATACCTCTCACCAGGGAGTAGTTGGTAATGATGCTCATAAGGTGTAACTAGGCAGCTTAGGAATGCTGTTTCTTGACTTATTTCTAGCTCTATTTTTCTTCTGTTAAAATCCTATCATAGTGCCCTCACTGAGTAACTATCATGAAACGTGTCAGTTGGTGCGGAATGTGGCTGTACAAAGCGAATTGTTTCATTTTTGGAGGCAGTGCAAGATATTGTATTGATCTTTAAACTGTTATGTGGTCTGGATATAAGCTACATGATAGGCCGCCTATCATGCCGTGGCAGCTAATCAGCCGATGCACTTGTGCTAATGATGTCCACGCAGGACCACTGAGAAGACTGCAGCACCTTTTTTTTTGTGATCAGAGAACTCTTGGAATTTGCTCCTTAAATGCAAAAATTCTTATAGTGTAACTTGTAAGTTCATATATTTTTCAAGCTTTTTTTCCGGAGTAAATAATGGGGGTAAATAACATCACCATTCCTATCTGCCTTGGGCTTTGAGTCTATTCTTGTTAATTGCCGTTTCTACCTTTATGGTTTAAGTTTTCATATTCTGCATATGCCTCTACAGCAAACTTAACAGCAAAAACTTACTTCAGCATTCTGGACTGCATACTTCATTCTTTTCCTCACAAAAGCTACTCTGCTACAACGGAATAAAAAAGTACAGGGGGAAAAAAACTTTAAAAAGAACTCGAATAAAACATTAAGGCAGCTTTAGCCCTTGGGGAGTGCCACGGTTGCAGCCCCGCTGGGACCGCCGGCCCCCCTGGGAAGCTGTCAGACCGCGGGGCGTTACGCCTCAGCCTCACCGCGCACAACACGGCGCAGGGGCGAGCAGCCGGGCGCCCTTCACAGACCCCGCGGCGGGGGCGCTGCCGCCCCGCCGGGGCTGACGGGCGCGGGGGCCCGGCCCTGCCCTAACGGCCGCGGGCGGCACTCGCCTCACGCAGCGCGCGCGCAACGGCCCCGGCGCGAGGCAGGACGGCTCCCGCCGCGCCCCGCCTGTCGCGTCCACGTGATCCCGCCTCACGCGGCAAAGATGGCGGCGCCCAGAGCTGTCAACGTGCTGCGGGGCGGAGGTGAGCGCGCCGCCGCGGGGCGGGGAGGGAAGGGAAGGGAAGGAGGAGGGAGGAGGGAAGGAGGGAAGGAGAGGGGCGGGCAGCAGGCGCCGCCCGTTAAACGGAGCAGCGCGCGGCAGCCCACAGCGATGCTGCCGTCTCGCTGCCCGGCGGGGACGTTGGTGGCTGATGCCGGCGGGAGAAGCTACCGGAGCGCCGTGCCCGCCCGCCTCAGCGCACGGGGCGCGAAGGGCCTCGCCCCGCGGGCGGTGGGAGCACCCGGCAGGGTGGCGGGGGGACAGCCCGGCCGGGCCGGGCCGGTGGCACCAGGAGCGGGGGGCTCGGCGCCGTGCGGGGGGGGCAGGGGGTGAGGAGCGCTCGGCCCCGGTGTGCGCCCTGCCGGGAGCTGGCCCTGAGCGCTGCTGGCGGCCGCGGGGCTGTGTTACTGTGCTATTCCTGTCAGAAATTTAGTTTTCTGTTAAAAAATGAATAAAATTAATAGTGACTGAAATAAGTACGTTTACTGTCCGATCCCACTGAGTCGCGTAACTTTTGCGTGCATGTAGAGGCTCTTCAGCTCCTGCCGTCCCTCACAGCGCAGTCTTCCTGAAAGTGCCTTTTCTACCACAGCCCAGCAGAAACGAGTCAGTCCCGTGTGTTTTACTGCCTTGGTGACACATCAGAGCAATTGTACGCGGTTCTGTACCTCACTGATAAACGTGTTTTCGTACTGGTGTTACGTTATTTACCTCTCATTCCTTCCCCTCTGCGTTACCTTGTCTCTCAGATTAAATAAGGCTCTTTGGGGCATACAGTTAAGTGAGTGTTTTGTTTTGGCTCCTGTTGTAAAATCTTAAATGTGTGAATAGAAAGAAACTCCTTACAATGGTCTCAGTGAAAGACTTGTATGGGTCTTTTTTTTTTTTTAAGACTGTAAATTCTTCATCTTTCAGCCAAAGCACAATATTGCAATGCTATGCAGCTGACATAAAATTTCAATCCGTTTTCTCATGTTGTTGATAATAATCTTCTGCTGTACTTCTATTTTTTTGTTCTGTTCAAGTCTTTTCAAACTTTTGAGAATATAGCAGCCTTTTCTTCACAGTTGATCCTGAATTTTGCAGGGCACGAGAGCCACATCAAATTTTTCATTGATGAAGGCTCGTATTCATAAGGAAATTTCAGTTTGACTGGAATCTTAGAATCTGAGCTTCAACTGAACACTGGGAAGAGCTGGGGCATTTGGCATTTGTCTCCTTTTTATTTTTGACACTGGTCAAAACCTTTACACTAGCACATGTGCCAGTTAGAAACTGAATCACATCTGTAGTATGTAGTACCATAGAATGTCTGTTGTTGGTTTGTCTCAAATTAATTGAAATTTATTGTACAAATTCATACTATTCTTGATTTCTTGCTTCTGCATTTCTTCATTTGCAGACTTTGTTCTGGATGTTGTTGTGGTCATGTGTGACCAGTACAACTGCCTCAAGCTGCATCCACACCTGGAAACTCTGTGTCTATCATCCAGTTAATAGACCCAAGCCATTTAAATTTGTTAAGCTTTAATCCCTCCCTCCAGACATCAAAACTTATTCAGTTCCCCTAGTGGATGCATATTTCCAGAAGTTGAAAAAGCAAAACTGTCATAGTTCAGACAAGACTGATTAAGCTAAATCCAATTTTCCCTGAATTGGACAGTTCAGTATAATTTAATTTGCAAATATTGAAAGACAGAAGTAATTTAAATTAGATTTCTGCTCACCGAAGGGAGTCTATTCTACCTAAATAGAATGAAAATTACTTTTTGATAGCCCCTTATGTGATATCTCTTCATACATCTGATGTTATATTTCTGTAAATGATGAAAAGAAAATTTTCATAATTATGGAACTGTGTCTAGCACACTTGAAAAGCAGAGATTTTGGAAGTTTGTATACTGTTTAAATACTTCCTCCACATATCAGAAGGAATTAGGCTATCATAAAGAAGTCTTTAATATGTTTGAAAAAGAAACGTTGAATGATTGTGCTTGCAGAAAGTTAAAAAGACAGTCTGTGATTTTTTTGTTAGGCATATCAGACAATTTATTTGAACAGTCCCTGTCTTGCTAGTGTCAGAATTGCAATACCGTCAACCTAAGGAGAAGGTACACAACTTGATAAGAGTGTGAGGGGCATAGGAGTGCCAATTGCATTTACCATTTGTAAAAGAAAACTAAGACAGAATCCCAACGCATCAAACGGTATGTTGACCTGTCAGGGTTTGTACTTATAAATGATAGTGATTATATGGTGTTTTATGGGCTTGTAAATGGTCTACTTGCATACTACGATAGTCTCAAGTATTACAATAATTGCATCTGTGATGTTCATTGGTAATAAAATAAAGTGGAAGACGTCAAAGAACTGCATGTCTCCAAATACAATTTCTATGATTTAAGGCATAATAATCTTTTATTGATCTATTAATTTTAGGCAAGTAAATTATTGTAGAGTAGAAGCCCCTAATTGCTTGTAATGAAGTTTCATGACTTGGAGCCATGGGAAAATAATTGATGAGTAGACATCTCATGTAAAACAAGTCACTTACTGTGTTAAATAGATAGAACTGATTTCTTATCTTGCTTCCCTATCTACCAATGAATGAGTGGTCCATCTATGCTGCATGTTATTGCCAGACTTTTAAGGTTAAGTTATTGTAGATTGAAGGTGTGTGATACATCTCTCAGATATGTAGTCTGTGTGCACAGGCTGTATGTTTGCTTGTGCTTTACCTAGTCTGCATACTTGCACAACTGGAAAATTGTGCAAGCATCCTAAACAGGTGCCAATAAGACTTCACCCCCGCTCATGTGTAGAAGCAGTAGATTTCTTCTTTGGGCTGTTTTTATGTCCAGCACCAGAGTTATTGTGAGATATTATTCTTCTTTGGATGCATAGCTATTTCAAAATGTTAGTTTTTTAAGTTTTTTTCTGAGAATTTTATTTTTTTCACCTCCCTTAGTAACATGAAGAGGAGATACATAAATACATGCTTTTAAATCTTCCCCCTCAAAAAAAACAGAGAGGAGGGCATAGCTGGAGTATGATTTTGTTGCATTGTGGCTTCAAAACCATGCAAATCCAAGTTTGCCTATAAGTGCTGAATCTCATTAGAGGTCTTTTTTAATTAGTATCATTTTCAATATTGCAATGCATTTTAGTTGGGCTGTATAGATCTGTTCAGTTTGCAAGTCTAGTCAATGATGCGATGATTGAATGTTGTCTATCCTTCAGAGCTACTCTAGGCAAAATTGAGTATTTCAAAGGAGTAACAACCTCTTCTCCAATAAGGTAATTTTAAGAAAATAATCAAGCTATTCTGAAGCATCACAGAAATCAGAAATGTTAGCTCAGACCCTGCAGAGAGTGGAGTAATAGGAAAAGATGCAGACAAGTAACTGAGGCACTATGAAGCAATTAGTTTACTTCCTCTAGTTAAAGCGTATATATTTAATTTCACATCTTGTTTTTTCTGTGTGATCAGATATGGCTTTACCATTTAATATGGTAAAACAGACAGTCAATTTTTACAGTATCATTTTATGGTGAACTCTACATGCTAGCATACAGAAACATTCTATAGAGTTAACATCTGAGAGGTGGTTAAATAAATAGCTTAATAAAGTACCTGCTGGAAATAACCCATTTAATGGGTTTTTGATTTTAGGAACACAGTCAAGGGCAAATCTGTAGCTTCACTGAGTAATATATATCCAAAACCTCTTTAGTTTCAACTACCTGCAAAGGGAGAGGACTGTTTTCCTTCTCTGTCAAATTGAAACATGAATGCCAGGTTTTTGAATTGTCATATGCTACTGAATCAGTCTGTTTCCATCTTTTTGGTAATGAGATTTGGAATAGGAGTAAAATTTTAAAAGCAGCCTACCTTTTCATAAGTGTACCCATAAACTTTAGCATATATGAGATTATTCTCATATTAAGAATGAATCATAAAAAAATTCTCAGCACTATTGATATTCAAATACAAAAAAATCTTTTCACCCCTATCTTCATCACTGTTAAACTTAGAAATGTACAGTGCAAAAATTTACAAATATTTAGTCCTCATCTATGGTAACTTCTAATACTTTAAAGCTATCTAATTCACTTTAAAAAAAAATAACTGTACAATAAACACATATCAGTCTTTGGGGGACTTGACTAAACATTGCCTAGTATTCCGGACTGATAATGAAATATGTCCTATAAGTCTGAAGGTTTTTTGGTAGATGAGAAAAAGTGATTGAAAACTTTTGTCAGAGAGTTTTCAAGATCAAATGATGCTTGGCTGCACTGTGCAATATATGAGCTGGGCAATTAGCTGGAAGCAAATGTTAATTCACATTTTCCATTAATTTGTAGACAGACTCATGTCTCCAGGATTTAACATTAGCATTATCAGCTGCAAATGATGCACGGTGGAAGTTCAAACCATTTGATCGTAGTACACTTTTAACATTTTCAAATGATCCTGAGGTATTTCCATCCCTGTCTTGCAAATAAGCAGGCAGACAAGGAATTATTCCCATTTCAACAGTGCAGCAATGAGTAACTCTCAGGGAGACATATACTTTCATGGTTTGAGGCATGAGAGAAAAAATATTCCCCTTTCAATAAAGTGTTTAATTGTTCTCTTCTTTCAGCTGAGAGGTAATGTGTTGTTGGCAGCACACAGAGCCTTTGTTCTGACAAGATACATCACTTCTAACTGGGGGTGGATTGGTAGGGCGCGGTTTTCCTGTTAGCTTCTTTTTCTCAATCGGCATCAGCCAAGATGATATTCAAAGGGAGGACTGTCCTCTGCAGTTGTCCAGCCGTGGCTGAGAATTGGATCACCTTGTCCACCTCTCCATAGACCGGCTGCTGCAGTGGAGGCCATGCGGCCTTGGCCAGCTCCCCGGGCCTGTTGGCCCTCAGCTGCAGACATGGCTGGGAGGAGGAAGAAGGCTGCCGTCGCCATGCAGCAGCTGGCTCACC